CTTGTGGGGACCATTTGAAGGACACTCGCAAGACATCTATCATCAGGAAAACGGCAAAATGCTGAATGCTTCTTAATGCTCTTAAAGCCTCTTATCCGCTTATTAAGAAGGGACCCTGCTTAATAAGAGCAATAAAGAAGCATTAAGAAGCATTCAGCATTTTGCCGTTTTCCTGATGATGCTCTCAACTTCTCCGCGGACAGCAAGATGGTCGTCTCCAGGAGCGACGATCAAAAAGTTTGGATATGGTCAGCTGAGATGGGGCAGAGTATCTATGGTCCTTTGAATGGTCACACGGCAAGTGTGAGAGGTGTATGTTTCAGGTACATCCTTATATACTGTGAGCTGTGTATATGGGTTCTAACGTCATGGGCCAGCCCCAATGGGAAGCAGGTTGCCAGTGGTATGTCGTTCTCATGAAGGAGCACATATTGCTCATTATATGTAGGGTCGAAGGACAACAAAGCAATTATATGGTCAGTCGAAAGCGGAGAAAGGATGTATGAACTTGAAGGCAGCACAGAGATTGTGTATGTCTCGAGACGCGTCTTTCTGCTGTTGACTGATTAGCCTCTAGATATGGGGGCTTGCATACTCCCCTAATGGACTCTTCCTCGCCACTGCAAGCGATGACCGCACTGTCGTCATATGGGATCTCGCGACGGAGCAGCGCGCATACCACACTTTAACCGGCCATGAAGGGTATGTGAGGGCGATCAGTTGGTCTCCAGACTCGCAAAGAGTTGTAACTGGGTCGCTGGATAATGCAATTCGTGTTTTCGATGTTGAGACGGGGGCACTTGTCTGTGAGCCTCTGACGGGCCACACTGATACCCTTACTGCGGTTTCCTTCCGCTCGTCTCCTCATCACGACGAAGAGGTTCTCTCTGGTGTGTCACTTCTCTCATACTTGCCCTGATGGACTAATTCTTTTCTTAGCTAGTCTGGACGGGACTGCCAGGGCCTGGATGCTTAGAAAGAAAATCGTGACAGAAACGCGGTCGCTTTCTAAGCACCATAGAGATTGGGTCAGATGTCACGCCTCGCACGAGGGAATTTAACTCATAGTCATTTTCAGATCTTTTCCGTTGACATTTCACCAGTCGACAACTGCATTGCGTCCGGGGGTGATGACGGTAAATTAGTCGTCGTGGATGCCACCACGGGACGAGTCAAGTTCTCCCTTGACTCCCACAAATATTGGATTCGCTGCATAACATATTCTCCCGACGGGACAATGATCGCTACCTGTTCCGATGACCGTACTATAAGCGTCTGGAATGCCGACGACGGAAGTCGTCTTGTAGGGCCGTTCAATTGTGACGCTGGAGCAGTGTTATCCGTTGCGTTCTCCCCTGACGGGAACGCCCTGGTCTCAGGTACTATAGCGCACTTTTGTGAGAGGACCTTCTCGGGTGTCTAATGTACTCATTGCAGGAAACGATGACTATACCGTTCGTTCTTGGACCCTCGATGCTCCCACCTCCGGTACGCTTGGCCCACTTTCGACCTATTTCGGCCATGCTGGCCCTGTGCAGACAGTGGCATATGCGCGTATGGGCGAGTGGATTATTTCCGGCTCTGATGACACAGAAATCGCTGTTTGGGAAGGGAGGAGCAGCAATGAGCTGGTTCGGAAATTTTGTGGGCACGACGGTGCGATCCTATCGATCGCCGTCTCTGGCGAGAGGATATTCTCCAGCTCCGATGACAAGACCATTCGGGGATGGGACCTGGACACGGGCGATCTACGGTTTATCATCCGTGATCACAGCGCGCCCGTCAATGAGATCCGGATATCGCATGACGGAAATTGGATCGCGTCGGCCTCTGACGACGCCCAACTAAGGATATGGGACTCGCAGACCGGCGAGTCGCGCACGCTACCGCGGCACATGCCATCTCGGATTCTCTCCGTCGCGGTATCACGCGATGGCAGCCTCGTCGCGTGCGGCGGTGCCGATGGGCGCGTGCATATCTGTCCAGATATCGCGCGACCCGTGGTGTGGCCCGATAGTTTTAATAGGGAGACGCGCGGGCTAGAATACTGTCCCGTAGACGATCAAGGGATCCTCGCTCACGCTACTTTACATAGGGATGGGTGGCTGGGCGGTTCCATGGGCGAAGCGATGTGTTGGATCCCCCCGGTTTATCGGAGGGGCCTGTTGATGCAACGGACTGTGGGCTTCCTCGGGGTGCCGGAGGTGGCTCTGGACATGAAGCAACTCGTGCATGGCACGAATTGGGAGAAATGCGCGGCTGACCATGGCGGAGCCTAACTTCGAACTTTCGTTACATGCGTCCAAATTCATACTCTAGGGAACTACGACTGTTATTCGTGTAAGAGAAAGAGACGCCGTTACACGGGCGATATTTCGCTTGCAGGAAGCTGTACATGTATATTGTGTCCGATTTACACCATTGCAGCCCGTGAACAGCTATGGCGGGGCTTGGGAGGTATGATCATTGACGTCGCATCAAATGGCGTGCGACCCCTTCTACTCCGCCAGGACAAAGGTTGAACGTTGAATGCTCCCCGATGATGTAACCGGGCACCTCATCCGCTGGCGAGTCGTCGTCGTCCCACAGGACATGGCGAAGAAGGTTGAGGAGCAGCTGCTAGGTCCAGAACACATGTCGACGCCCCTCCCAGTGTACCGTAATGCCGCGGAACGTGCCCGATGTAAAGCGCGCGGGACGAATGATGGGACCCTGCCCTGCTGAACCGGATCGCGGTGACGAACAACTCGAGCATGCACACGAGACCGCCATCGCGCAGGTCTTTCAGACGCCAATGCTGCGCCGTGATCGGCATTTGTGCGTTATTCACCAGCTCGCGTATCTCGGACACGCTATAGTTCTGTCGCCCTGAGATCGCCCAGCGTCATTGGCTTGATACCTGCATGCTTGATGCCGAGATGTTGCGGAGGGTCCAAATGCAAAGCCACGGGCGCTGGATGAGCGCATGAGCAATTGGGGAGGAATAAATTGTGGCATGAGGGTATGGCGGGGCCATCACGGTGCGCCTTCACTTTCTAGCCCTAGAGTAGAAAGGCCGTCAAACTCCGGCCTTGTAGGAATAACATTGAGCACGCAGCCAACAGGCAGAGAACGTGAAAACATGAAAACATACGAAGATGGTGATGCCTTCTATATCATCCTTCCAGGCTTCGAGCAGTGCCTTATCCTGGCTTTCAGCCTCTCCTACAAATCCAGACCAGAATCTGCCAGTGGCGGCGCTCTCGTCATATTCTTCGGTTGGTAGAGGGACGGGCTTCTCAGAGGCATCCTTTTCCCCTGTGCCTCAAAACATGAGAGATTCAAAAAAACTGAGAGGAATGGAATCAAGGGCCCTCCATTTAGAGCCTCCAAGTATCTGTGGGTCTCTGATGATGGACAAGCGGAAGCGGTCACTGGTCACTGGTGAACGGCCGGGCCGCCATGCCGTGCTGTGAACGTTGACGCGGTTGGTTCATTCCCGAGCGGTAAGCGGATGCGGGATTCATCACTTCATCACTGAGTCGTACAGTAACAGAATTTTACGAGAAACACATGCATGTATGTGCGCGCGCACGGTCGGCGCAATCAGAACGTGTGACTTGGCGCTTATCATCGAGAAACCCATCGATATGAAGGAGGGCCAATTATAGCGTCGCATTAGCGTGGCAAGTAGCGCGGTGGTCATCCCCGCCATCGCAGCAAATCAGATTCACCCCTACAAATGAAGCGGGCAGCTCGGGTTGGTTGCCTCGCAGATGACTCCACGAAACAAAAAACCACTAGAGCCATCACATGAGGTTCTGATTGACGCCAGGATTGTGCTGCTCTTCACCCCATTATTTTGTTGCCGTCCCAGGTCACCGGCACCTCCAGAAGACAACAATCGGACTGCTCGGTTGCTCGGACATGAACCGGCCCTTACACCCTCCGCAGCACACGTGTGTGAGCAATGGTTTCTGACTTCCTAGTGGATTTTCAAGACGGCCTCCGTGTGAGCATTATGACCAGTCGTCTGCCATTGGCAACGATGGGACCATTCAGTAGCACGTTCATGCTCACAGGTACATCACGCAGCAAGGGCTCGAGTTCAAAGTTCAACATCTGCGGGCTCCGGGCGAGGAAATAGAAGTTACGGTAATAAACTTGGAAATAAATAAATAAGAAAAAGACAGACATGCATTCCCTCTGGAGGTAACTGTAAGGAGTGACTAGGTAGTCAATGAAAGGCTTACAAAGGACTACTGACCCCAAAACACCCTCCAGCCAACAAACGGCCACACCGAGCAATGCGACCCCTGAGGCCTGAGGCCTGAGGGGCAGAAAAGAAGCAACCCGAACTCCCCGCTGTCCCCCAACCCCGCCATCACATCAATTGCAGTCCCAGACATGGCTATACCCTAAAGTAGCCCGCACCAATCACCAGCGAGACGGAGCCAAATGTCAGGCCAGACACAACTGGCGCTACCCAACCACCCAAAACCCAAAACAAGACGCACGCCGTCAAAACTACAGCAACAAGATCAAACACAACAAAATATTTACAAAGCTTGTCACAAGGGAACAACGGGGATGGACTAGGAGGTTTAGGAGTGGGTACGTGTCGACCATCCACGTGTTCTGGCCCGATGTTCTGGTTTTGAGCCCAACATCGCCCCGGGGCATGTGTAACTGCATTCAATTTCCCCCCGGTCCCCCTGTGGACTGCTTTAACACACTGAGCTTGACCGCTTCAGTTGACACTGCATGAGTACGCTCACCATGTTGTCACCCAGCACCGTATTGACTCAGTCAGTTCCCCCTGCATTAGAAATATGATTGTATGGTGTGGGAATAAAGCGGTTTCAAAAACAAAAAACTCGTATCTATCTCGGCATTGGGCATCTTGAACTTGACCATAAATGCAAATAAGGTCAAAAAATAAGGGTCTCATTTTTTTTTCGACTCTTTAGGCCTCGGAATCGTGCGTTGATCTCATGTAGTCAAAGTATGTAGTCTTCCAATCCCTGGTAGTATATCGGATTAGTACACGCGCCTGTCAGCATTGACGCGGGCGCGCGCGCGCGCCCATTCGCGCGCCGCGCGTGCCCACGTGAGATCGCGCGCGAGAGCGGGGTTCGACTCCCCGCCAGGGAGTCTGTCATTTTTTTTCATATTTCATTTTTTAAATTTCCTCCGTACTGTACGTGTACGAGAGGGGGAACTCACGTTGATGGTTGGTTAGATCGTTCCTGTTCCCGCGGGCTTTTTTTCTGCTGGAATAATTCCCAAAAGTACACGCGAAAAATAACTAAGTCAACGCGATTACAACGAGAGTCCCGAGACCCTAGAATCTTGGATGAACTAAAAGCCAATCACCACAACTTTCTTGCAAAACCCTATCCAACGTCTAGTCATACGACGAAGTGTAGCTTGGCGCCCTGAGGAAAATGAAGGGTGAGTGTTGAAAGGAGAATAAAAACCAGTCTTAGTCACGGTGGGGACGACGCACAAGTGGATGAGTAGATGACAATTGCGGCTTTTGGCCATATTTCTTCCTGAGGATCTCACTTTTACGAACCGGTGGTGTAAGTGCAATACGGGGGAGGATGGCGCAAAAAAAAGAGTCATCGACACGCACCGTACACCACGAAGTAGATCAATGTACGATATTTGTGGGTTGCGCTCTGATCGAGCACACGAATAAATCACCCACATGAGATGGCATCAAGATTTGGGGATACGCACTCAATACAGTCAAAAAGCCTGACGTCGTTTCGAGAATCAGTGGGCGTTGGGCTAGTGCTCGATGATCTAGCCAGTCCACTCACATGGCTCATGGCGCCTACGGAAAGTCCCTCCTTGACGACATCCGCGCTCGCTTGCGAATCCTTACAGCCGCTGAAGCAGATCTAAAAGGAGAGAAAGTTTTCGGTTTAAAAAGAAAACTTTTTTGTGCTTTTCTCGAAAACATCCGTTTCCGAAACGTACAATATCAGCTGGCGAGGACTTCTCCCGATGGAACGGGGGAGAGACTGGGCTTGATTTCATTTCCCATTGGAGTGGAACTATGTCACCCGTTTCAGCATGAAGCGTGTGGTCGGCGCGAAGATCATGCACAGTACCTCGAAAACAAGATCTTCTCCTTTGTCGGCACAATCTCGATAAAATGAGAGTAATCGATGCGCACCTAGCATCGACCCAGAATGGCAGGACTACATACATACTGAGTGAGCACGTACGCCGATGTTGAGGATGCCCTGCTCACATCAAACACGGCCTGACGTTTATTGGTCAACGTGTGGATACGTGAACGTGAAAATGACATACAGTCATCGGCAGCCCGCTGGGAGAGGTTTCACCTACGACGGTGAAGTCAGGAGTTAACGCTCCAACCCGGATTTGCACGTACTAGGATGGCGTGTAGTTCCTTGAAGGGCATGATATGAATCAATGGCAGGTACACGGCACATGGAGTTGGATATAATCACATCGTCCGTAATGACCCTGTTGTTCTCCAGTCAAGCGGATATATGCTGTCGTCTCTTCTCAGTTGGAAGAGTAAGCCTCAAGGTGAACTGCGCCACCTTCGTCCCGCCCGTCTGCCTCATCACCATCCAGGTCAGGTACCGATCCCCGTGTCCCGAATCTGCAGCAAAATAAAACGTTAAAGCTGAGCACATCTCGGCACCCTGGCCCACTCACAATGAAGGAATAATGCGTCGTCGGGACGGGCACCCTCTACGAGCCACCGCATCGCATTCAGAAGGTTGGTTCGCGTGGGTTGCGAACGCGGGTTCGGGTTGTCATCGGTGAGTATGATAATGTTGGAATGGCGATAACTGTGTTCTGTTTCTCAACGACGTCAGCTGCAGCCGTACACTGCCTTTAGACAGATGCAAACAAACAAACCCAGAAGAAACTGGTGCACGTTCCGTACATCGTTCACACATCCCCGCAGTGCATTCCGTTGTCCGGTGTAGTTGATCCCCACCTGTATCCTTGTCAGCATTGGCCAAAAAAAGAGAGCGTTTGTAGAGCACGTACACAAAGGGCCTTTCGTGTACCCGAGCATCGTGAAGGCCGAAACGACGGGTCGCTACGCCAGTCACGACGTGTCAGATCCTGCTCATCTGCGTCTTGCATTATACGTGGAGAGCGTGCATGCGAGCGCAACTTCTGTAATACATGAATCGCTCGTGTCTGTACGGGTAGATTCAATGAGGATCCGGTGAGCGCGGAATCGTATGGCGAAGGGATGCTGCGTGGCCCTCCAGATAATGCATGCGGTGGTACTGGCGGCGTAGGGACTTCCGGCCTGGTATATGGCCGTCTCCATGAATGAGTCTCTTTTCCGGCAGTGAAGTTTCTCTTCAGATTCGTGAGCTGTCGATCGAAATCCACAAGGATGTTCATCCTGTAGTCAACGCCGCCGAGTTCTTTTTGCATTAAAAGCTCCAGGCGATTGGGGGAAAATAGACAACACGGTGCTCACCTTTGAACTCACGTTGGCACAATCCTCTGCGAACAACGCAGCATTTCTAACCAAGTTCAGGATATATGTGACCGTCCAGGTCTGAGATATTAGACGTTCGGCGAACTTGGGCAATTGCATATCGACGAGCAGGTCGTGCACTTGCTCGCCTAGACTCTGGACATCTGCTCCGCATGATCTACTGGCATCAACTCCCCGACGCAAAACTTAGCCTCATCGTATATCCTTGGAGAAGGAGGAACTCACATACAAGCGGATCTAAGGGCATCCCTTGTTTCTCTAGCCGTTTCGTAAAGCTGGGGGTGACGTGTGTAAACAAATACATCGATAAACATGAACAACATACCCCGGAATAAGGTGGAATCAACTCCATGAGTCCGTGTAAAGAATCCAATGACCGCTTGAATGAATTCGGTGCCGTGGCAGGACTAAAGAAAATTTCTTGGCCATTCCCACCTGGTGAAGCAGCGCGATCTTCATGACCTCGAGCTTTGTCTCTCGCCTGCGTACGGGACATGTTAGGTGTCGGTTCCTCGACTGTTCGTACCCATGTAAATCGCACTTTGCTATCCTCCTGCGTCGCGATAGAGAGGAGCACCGAAAATCCGACATAGGCGCGCTCGAAGTCTGTTAGGGACGGCGGTTAAAACCAACTCGGGAAAATCATGCATGAGAACAGACTCACCATGTTTGTCCCCAGGTCTGGACGAACAGAAGCGGAGTATAGCGTCACCTTGGACGTTGACTGCCTCCGCTTTTCTTCTCCGATCCCGTCCGTGAGCCTCGTACGGCTGGATAGATATGATAGACTTGGCCGTGATAGCGCTGGCTCAAAGCTCGTAAGGCCGGGGCGACAAGGAGAAGGACGGACAACAGGGAGGTCTGCTTACATCGCAGGCTTGACTTTCCAAGAAAGCGTCGACTGTGCTTCGCGCAGCCGAAAGGTCGCAGTTCTAGGTTCGCCGTCCACAAAAAGCTCCATCACGGGGGAGAGTTTGTAAGGCCCATGGGGATCTGACTTGATCACGATGCCTATGTGGGGGTCAGCTTTCTAGTTGATCGCTAAGGACAGGGGGGATTTGTGTACCCGTGAGCATGAACGTGCTACCGAATGGGCTCATCGTCGCCGATCTCACTGACGGACGACCGACCATATTCTCGCACGGGAGGCCCTCTCCAGCTCAGCTTTGAAGAATCCCACTAGAAAGTAAACAACAGGCTCACACACGCGTGCTGCGGCGTAGGGGATGTGAGGGCGGTTCGTGTTCGTGCGCCTGAGTGGTCCGAGTGTGCATTTTATGTGATGAGCAGGGCAAAAAGTGCCGGACGCCGGTGCCCGGGACAGCGGTAAAGCAACACGACGAAGACCAGGACAAAATCTTGGCGTCAATCAGAACCCCATATGACCGCTCTAGTGGCGATAACATCTAAGGGGTTGATGACTCTAGTGGTCGTTTTGTTTGAATCCGGGTTGATATTCCCGTGGGCGTGATACGCGCCAGAATGCGGTCGCCTATCGGCATTCCAACTACGGAGATTATGGTCGGCGTGGGGGGTGTAGGGGATGTGGTAAGGGGGGATAGTGTGGCCGACCTGACTGAGCCGGTGATTTTAAACGGACCTGTCCGGCGTCTCAGACAAGGCTGGGCACTCACCTGGGCTCGTGTGCACGGTTCTGGGAGTCACGCGGGCCCATGACTCCTCCCTCCAGGAACGTAAGGAATCACAATCGAGCGCAGTGGGTGGGAGAACAGCCACGTAGGGTCGTCCACGCGGACTGTTTAGCTGTGTAGTGTGTGATGATGTATTTGTTCAGACGGGCCGTTGCGACCGGCAGCGCGGTCGCAGGAACACTTGTCCCGGGAACTAGCAGATAGGCGATAGGCGAAAGGTACACACATCCAGGTGGGTTGGGCGAGCCCACCCTTCCTGATAAAGTATGTTGCGCTCATGTGCAAAGGTAAACACGGGACCACAAAAGCCTCGCTTCGTTGGGATGATTCTACAACTACCATATTCCCTTTTCTTCACATGACAGCCCGGGCAGCACCTCCCTCGTGATCATTCGTAGTGTGCACCCGGGGCGGGAAACGGTCATGTCGACCCTCGAACGATCGTGGGGTTTTAGAATGCCTTTCCTCCATCAAATGTACCTAGGAAAGGCGGCTTGTCCCCCGCGACAGCCCGGTTTCCACGGCAAGCTGTGCGTTCACGGCAGGGCATACATAGCCCGTCGGGTTTCCCCTGGAACACCTCGACATGAAAAGTGCAGCGCCCTGGCAGCAAAAACCGCCTCGACATCAAAAAACGTATTCGTTCACGCCCTCGACAAGCAAAAAGAGAGTGAGAGAGAGAGCTACGAAGAAGAGACACCGCGGGTGCTCGCCGCGTCCGCGCGATGACCCGCCACGCCTTGCCAGGAAAACAACTGTCGTCGTCCTCGCCGTACACGCACGACCAGAAATCCCTCAGTTCCTCCATCGCCTCGTCGATGTGCGCGC